CAGGGGTGAGAGTTCACGATGTACACTAGAGCCTGCAAGAGCTATGGCTGAGGCTCAGGTAGAGACCACCTTGTTATTGGGGGAAGAAGCTGAAGGAATAGATCTTGACCTCTGGCTGGTCTTGCTCCCAAACACAGCTGGAAGCCAGAAACAGAAAACCCAGGTGGTAGTAATAAAGAGCACAGCCTGTTAGACACAGGAGACACAGAAGGTTGAGATGGCTGACAGGCAAGTGGAGACGATCCTTGCCATACTGTAGCAGAATGAGCAAGAGGTGATGCCGAATATCCTGACATGGGTTAGTTAGTGAATTACCTCTAAACATTGATTGGGTACTTGCTCCATCAAGTGTTGTAGATACCAAATAAATAGCTAATTTTTGGGAGAATCATAAACCAGCTACCAGTCAGGGTTCTAATTTCAGATGAGAGGCACTGAGGGAGTGAGGAACACTGCTTGGCAGAGCCAGAGGAGGGCTCCTGTGGAGGGATGACATTGGAGGTATGCACAACATCAGCAGGAAAAGCAGCACCCTCCCCCTGCTCTGTGGTGTCCCTGTGGGCAGGGGTGCAGGTGTCGACCACCTGCAATTTCTTTGTCTAACTCCAATTGAGTCTGGCCTAAAGGAGGCAGAGCAACAGGAAAGGGGAGCAAGACCAGACTGAAATCTGGATCTATGCCTCCATCTCCTTCTGCTATGGATGCAATGTAACATGTGTGTGTGTAGGGGGGGGGGTATGAGTAGAATTGAGTGGTATCCTGAACCAGACGAGAGTGTAGATTTTATCCTTAAAATTGTCAAGTGGGGCTTGACACTGTAAAGGACATTACTTCTTTAGAAGAATAAGTGAGGGATGAGGAACACGTTCCTTAATGCCTCTTCTTGTTGACAATGTTTTCTTGGGTTTCCCTTCCTTCTGTCTCCACTGTTCTCCCTCACCCAGCACCTTTATAGTGTTGTTTTTATTAGGTAAATCCCCCAGGGTTAAAGGGCTAGTTAGGATGGATCTGGTGCTGTGAAAAGAAAAAGAAACAGCTTAGGTATTTAATAAAATTTCACTTCAGTTGCTAGTAGGGGTTTAATTTGAGGGTAGTGGAAATATTGAGGATGCTGACATAGAAATTAAAATGCTTAATGAGCCAATGCTTAGTGATTTATGGCAAATAAAGTAAAAACAGGACGTGACTTCATGATGGTTTGAAAAGTTGGCTTGAAATACTATTGCTATACCATAATGCTATTGTAGACCAAAGCACAGAAAAACGGAACAAATGAAATTGCAAACACGTCCGTTCCCATTGCTTTTTCACACATCGATCTCCAAAGAGAAAGCTCTTCAAGACATTGGGGAGAAAGCCCATTACTGGATTAATCAAACAACCATCTCCTATCTGCACTTTTATTTTATATACCCTTTACACCTGTTTAATTAATCCTAAACATGATGCTGACTGCTAATTAAACAGCCCTGGAAGTGACTGACTGAAGGTAGTAATTTGAGATAATTAGTTTTGGTTTCAAACACTCAATTTTCACACTTTGTGCTCATTTTTAGAAAGGGGTGGCTCATTATTACAAGGGGGGTGGGGGCTGTGGAAGACATTTTACTGCTGGACTCTGAGGATCTGAGGAAGTGGGAGGGCTGTGTTTTCAAATAGGACAAGAACATGGTACAGTGCTGTAGAAGTCTTTACAGCATTCTCTTCCACACACTCCCCCCAACCTACCCCA